CATTTGCTTACATATTGTCAATGGTTGCTTTCATGCCACGATTGCAGACTGGAGCAGTTGCCACAGAGCCTCAGTGGCCCACAATGCCTGAAATACTGAATATCTGACCCTTGACAAAAAGTCTGCCAATCACTAGGATATCCCCAGCATCAAGAACAGTAACTGGTAGATAATCCATCTTTATTTATTTTTTTATTTTTATTTTTTGTCTTTTTTCGTGACCAGCAACGGATCGCAACCCTCAGTGTCAGGCCCGTACCGGACAGGGACCGGCAATGGGATCACAACCCTCGGTCTTGCGCCCGCACCTCGCTCAGCCAGTGAGCGGGAACCAGTCTGTATGTGGCGCAACCCTCGGTCTTGCGCCCGCACCTCGCTCAGCCAGTGAGCGGGAACCAGTCTGTATGTGGGATCCGAACCCTCACTGTAGCAGTGCGCCACGGGGCCGGCCCGATAATCCATCTTTAAAACACACACACACACACACATGCATACACACACACACGCATACACACACACACACACACACACAAAAACCTGCTTAAATAAAATAAACAAACAATTAGTATTTCTATAAGAAAAAGTAATGTGAAAGAAATTCTAAGTGCTGCAGATTTAAGATATAAATAACGATGAATGTATACAAATAGGAAGTGTCCATTATAGAAAACATCCAGAGAAGCAGAGTGCACTTTATTAAGAATATGTTTTGGCCATATTTTGTTTCCATAGGGTAAAATATTTAGAATATCTGCTCTAAATTAGAATGTGAAGTCCAAGTAAGAGTAATAGCAACTTAAAAATAACATAATCATGTTTCTTCAAAGCTTTCAGCAATTCCCCCGTTATTTACTGAGTGAAATCCAAATTCTTTCCCCTGGACTCATGAGCCATTCATAAAGTACTTTCTAAAAATCTCTCCAGTGCTATCTTCTAACACATTCTGACTCAAATAATTTACTCCTTATTTCCCACCAACTCATGGACATTTATTTGTATGTAGCATCTTCCTTTCCTATATTCTCTTCCTGGAATGACTATCTTTCTTGAACCATGTCAGCAAGGAAAGTCCCATATTTCCTTCAACGAATGCGTCAAGTTCAATTGCTCCACTGAGGGTTTGCATAGCATCCAACAGTCTTACTGTCCTAAATCCCTACAGCACATAGCATGGATCTTTTTATATACATATTTCTCAATTAGACTTTAAGTCCCTTAAAGCCAAATGCAAAATCTTATAATTTCATAGGTCCAGGCCCTACATCACACAATTTATATTTTGTTTTTTATATACTTAACTTTATATCATAATCATATTTTTATGTCATTAATAAGTCTCAGGAAAACTCATTAACCACGATCCAACTAGGACATGTCACTGCTGTTTTATTTTAATATAGTCATGCCATAGATAACACAGATAGTCATGAGCTCTTTTGTTCTTTTGCTGAATAAGCTTCATTAAACATACCTATGGTCCTATAGTCCAATACCTATGGCTAGATCCCAGAAATACAAAAAAATGTAAAATAAAACATGGTTCTCTGCCAAAGGAAATCACGGTTACTTGGCCTAACCCTCCTAAAAAGAGCAGCATCTGTGATTTAAATAAGGAGAATATGTTTGACATTTAAATCAGGAGGATAAAATATGTGTGAAGTAAAAATCGATGTCAAGGTAATGAATAAAGAGTTCTGAAGGAAGATCAGTTAACTTTATTTCTGAATAACATACAAGATGATAACTGAAGAAAAACAGCAGCAAGGGAAAGATAATACTGTTTCGAATAATACTGACAAATCTATTTATCTCTCCTACTAGGTATCAGGAGGTGGTCACCCAAGGCAGGGGTGGGGAGAAGAACTAATTGTCATTAATGCCCCCGATCAAGGAACAACGTTTAATTTACTCCGGGAAATAGCCTTTTTGAAGTAGGCCCAGCAAGATCCTGATTAAGATAAGCTTCATTATACATCAGGCCATAATAATACCCAACTGGCTTTAGAAGTTTCTCTAACACTGACTTCACAACCTTAAATTACTATTTTCCTTAATTATATTTGATATATGAGGTGATCCGGATTGTGTTCTTTCTCTCTACAATATATAATTCCCATTTTGTATGGTTCCTTAGACTTCGAAAATCTAAATGAGAAAGCAGTACTGACATGCCTTTGTCACTTTATAAAAATAAGTATTCAGTAAGTGTTATTCAATTAGTTATATCTCCAAAATTGAAAAGACCTAAATATGACTGGAATTTTCTACAAGGGAAGATATTCTTGGAAATTTTAACTTACATATTATGAATATGTATTCTTGTATTCCCACTAGATATATATGCAATTTCTTCACAAGTCCTACTTAATTTCTTCCTTTCTGCTATACTGCATTGCTTAATTTGCCCGTGCAGCCACCACAGAGCTGATGTAGCTCCCTTTATAAGCTGTCATCACATTTAAAATCATCTTCTGCAACAAGCCAGCTTTGGTTACCTAATTCAGACAATTCTTCCCCCATCAGCACATAGAGCACCTATTATATAACTATGTCAACATTTATCACATAATTATAATTGTGTAATTTTCTTGGCTATCACTCCATCTAGACTGCAAATCCCTGGAGGAAGACCATGTCCTGTTCATCTTTGTTTCCTAGCACCTAACACAGGAATTATCATTTAGAAAAGTTTCTAACAGAATGAAAAGAACCCTCTTCTAAGACGGTGTCTCTGGACTCCTGGGGATTGGTACGTATGAATGTGAGCAATCCTCCTCCTTTTCTCTCTCATTCTCAACCCATGTCTGAAGAACCATGACTCTCTAGTCCATGAGGAAGCTTGAGCTTGAAGACGTAACACAGGTGTTGGATAAAAAAAAAAAATTCTGTTCTATTTCCATGTGAAAATTGGTGATGCCTAAAAAGGGTTTATAAAGAATCTGTTTTTTCTTAAATCTCTTTGTGCCTTATACAGGAAAGCTGCAAAAGATTATCTGCATTAAGTGCCAAATTAATTGGTATTAAAAATGACTCAGATATAGAACAATATCTACTTCTGCAAAGAAAAACTTGTTTACTTGAATGTATTCAGTGTATCAGAACTAAATGCCATGGTAACCAGCAACGGTGGTGGATTTTGTGAAATACCTTCTTTTGAATTAATCTAACTAGTAGGTTTATTTTTCTGTCTTATTCTCCTTTTGCTTTGGGTTTTTCATCTATATTTCATCCTAATATTCTTTCACACTGAGGTAGGAAATATGACAGAAAATAACATGTTTGTAATTGAAATACTGGTTCAAAGCTAGTACATACTCAATTAAATCTCATTTGTGATGAGCTGTGTTTCACAGGCAGCTTACGGCACATTAACATTGGGAGGCTATAACCCATGCATTTTACCTTCTTATTTTTTTTCCCTACCATAAGAGAAACGAAGAGAAATTTAACTTTTGAGATCGTTTTAAATTTTACTTTTTTAAGGGGAATAAAGGCAAGGGCCACCCTGAAGACAATTGATGTTGTTTAACAGAAAGTCCTTTGAAGAAGTTTTAATCTTCTCTGGAGTTTAAAAATTAAAAAGAAGAGGAAGAGGAAAAAAGCAAAAGCAGCCACGACTCTGTGACTATGACACCCCCCAAAAAATGCAAGGTGGATTTCACATCCTGTTACACAGCACCAACATTCGAGCCTCATACTCCAGCAGAGTTCTAAGTACATCAAAGTCTCAGCTTTGGGACATGGCATAAACCACGTGTTTTACCAAAGAAATGAAATCTGGACTCTCCACAGTTACTAGCACAACAGGAAGTGAGTACAATTGCTGAAATACCCATTTGAGAGGGAAGAAAAAAAATATATATGTGTGTGTGTGTGTGTGTGTGTGTATATATATATATATGATTTAGTCACACTCTTGTAATTTATATCCCATCTGTCTTTTACAACCCACTAGATGCTTGTAATTTCTTGACAACAGTTTAAACTGTGTTCTAAGTTCTCAGTCACTGGTCCAAGGTTACCTTCCAGCTTCCTCCATCCTTTTCCCCATGCAAAGAAAGTTAAAATAAAAATAAACAAATCAGATGATAAGAATGAAAGAAATAAGAAGTTCAAAATTAAGTAGCCAAATAGTTTACAAACATGTTTTACCAGGCCATCATTAGAAGGTCTAATAAGAGAGAATGCGACTAAACTTGCACAGGGTGAACATGCGTAGGTTTGAGCTCCTGTGAAGGACACAATGCACTGCACCTGTAGAGGCCTGCATTAGTTTCAAAATCAATTCAAGCTATAAAACCAAAAATACAACACTACTTCTTTCAAAAAGAAAAAGAGGAGAAGAATCAAGGAAACTGATGCAACATTTGAAGTTTTTAAGTATGTATGTTACGTAAAGTAATGAAGTTGAGATTAAGAATCAGTACAAAATTTTGACATTCTAAGTGTTCAGAGAGTAAAAGGAAGGAGCCACAAGGCAGAAGATAAATCTACAGCTTGCCTAATTTTCTAAAATTTCAAATTCAAAGGTTTTTAAAAGTAAAAAAAAAATCTCATAAAATTGAAGAATTAAATAAACATAAAGACAAATTTAAGATGAATCATTATCTAAGTTATCCAGATAATTTTTTTAGTGGATAATTTTTTTCAGAAAATCACTTTACGCTCACTTTAACTTTGCAAACCCAGCTGGAGTAATGACTTTAATGCCTATTATTAATTTACAGCAAAGTGAAATGTTTGCTCTGATGTGATGAACAATAAATTGATTAGGATAATTTAAATGCACAATTTCTTCATGTGCCTGCAAAATCTCTCTTCATCAGGCTAAGTGCTTTCTGTGATTATGACATATACGTATGAATGAAGTAGCAGTTGCCCCCAAATGAAAATGTTTTCTATTAAGCTTATGTTAAGTCAACACCACTCTATATCTGAGCATAAATGAAGATAAAACACCCCACATTATGATTCAATTAAAAACCTCCAAGATACGTTACCTGCCGCCTCGCGCACTGAAAGGCACTACATGGATTCCCAGAGGCCCTCCATCGTTGGGGACTTGTACGTGCTTTACCATATCACTGTGAGACAATGATGAATGAAGGAGCATGAACATGGACTGTAAACAAACCAAAACTGAAACAAAACCAAACCAAAAACATCCGCAACAACACAGACACACAAGAAACAACGAAAGAGAATAAAACAGAAATCCCACCAAGCACACACGCATACACATACATATTCTGGAATATAAGCATGGTGATGAAGGCAACATTAAACACTACATACCTGAACACTAGTCTGATGGCATGGAGGGAGAGCAATCATCAGAGATAACTACACTAAAAATGGCACAGGACCATTTCTCTTGGGCCATACACTTCTGTGTAATACAAGTTCATGTTTTGCAAATCATACCTTTAAACTTCCACTGAAAATTTTCCATCCCAATATCTATTTCAAGAATTCTGAAGATTAACCTAATAAAGGTGTTGAAGCTACAGAGCACTTTATAATTTAGAAAGTGCTCATATATATAACATCATTGATCCTTCCAATAATTCAATGAGGTCAAAATTCTCCTCCCTGTAGATGATAGTCCAGAGGAGATCACAATTGTCCTTACTGCCCACTATTTGATGATAATTCAAAGTCACCATTTCCTAAACTGCTAAAAAAGCACTGCAAGGGCAGGTTATAAAACTCCTTTCTCAAGCCAATAGAAATCCACTGAAAATCAAATAATTATCATGAAGGTGTTTGTAATTGATCTTTAAAATTATGCAGCTATACTACATAAAGTAACATGAAGTTACCTCTACATAAGATACTTCATGTAAGGAGCACAACATTCTGTGTATTTGTCATTTCTATGAATCTTTACTATTTATATAAGCCTGAGTTTGATGAAAACTGCTCAAATTTTGAGAACGTAAATTTACTAAACTATTTAAATGAGATTTTGCTTTCTTTGTAGATTTTTCCATATATACATACTACATCAGAGATCTAAGCAGTATTTATCTAACAATCAATATTTGGATATAGTACTTCAATTAAATATCTAGTTTAAGCAACCTAGAAAACCATAACTGATAACCAATGGATTCGACAAAGATTATAATATATAGTTTTTGTATGACAGAAAATGCCAATTTTTCTATTGTATTTCTTATACGAAACCTGAGGTTATCTTATGTACTATGAAATTCTTGCTTATAAAATACAAAGCAAATATAATTAAAGGCACGGGTCTCAAAGAAATCTAAACAAAATTGAAAACATATGCATAGATTTAATCACTTACTTTAATTAGGACAAAAAAAATTTTTACCAAAATGTCAAAAATATTCACTAAAGTAAAACTACTTAAATGGATTTTTTATTTTTTTTTATTTTTTCAAAGAATTTTATAAAATATTTTAGATAATGTTAATATCATTTAAACATCAATGTAATCATTGGTTTATCAACTAAAAAGAGTATAACTTTAATACTTCAAGAAACTGATCTTATTCCACATTTTTTCTAAAAAGAACTATAGCATAGCAAGTATTTCTTAAATATAAATACTCAGAGTGCTGGTTTCTGTATATCCAAACACAATCTGATCTTAGAACCTGCTTAATCTCACTGAGAAAGTTCTTAGAGACCTCCCTTGAAAGACCTAGAGAAGACAGAAGTATATAAATGTTAATCTCTAAACCCCCAACTTTAACCCAAAGTCAAAGAAAAAAATCCAGAATGACTGCTCTCCCTGCTCAACTCTATCAAGGGATGAAGTCTTGAAATGCCTTCCAGTTAAACATGCCAATATTGAAAATAATTGACAAGTTGTAAGAAATTTTTGTCTTTTTACACTTCAAATTATGTTCAAGGTCCCTAACCTATGACCTGTAATTTTTCATCAAATATCTAAAGAGATTCTATTTCTTCAAGTTAAAAAATATATATATACTATAACAACAAATGTTTACATGATTCAACTAATTTTTCAAGGATGTTCACAATTTGTTTTTGATTTAGCAAAGCTGAAGAACAAACAGATGACCAAAATAGTGACATACAAAGCAATCTGAAAACAGTTACAGTGTTTACAGTACTGTTAGCATGACAAACATTTTCAATCAAATACTATTTTATATTATAATTTAATAGTATTTGCCGAGGCATGAAACTCCAGACAGGTAAATGTGAACTTTCATGCTATACTGCTTACATTACATAATTAACACAATAGATGAAAGATGCTCTTCAGAAAAACAAATCAATGCAAGGCATGTTTTTAACTAAGCACAAACATTCCGCATGCCATATGCTTCTAGAATACTTGCTGCAAGGAATGATGCTACATGTATATTACAAATTTAGTTAAAACCATCTGTAACTTACTCCAGACAAAAACTGGGTGTATTCTCCAAACCAGTGTCTGCATGTCCAACTGGCTCAACACGGCTGTTGTCTTCTTCTGTCCCATCTTCGTCCTAAGGGTGGCAGGACACAAAGAGGAGAACACTGCGTTAGGTTTATTTCTACAATGTGAAAGGAAACTGGGTAAAACTGGAGTCTAACAGACATTATGTCATGTTAACTAGGTCTTTCCACTAGGGAGGATGACCTTTAATGATACGATGGGTACGTGTACACAAAAAGCTGAATTTTAAAGTAATAGTCTCCTGAGTTAGCATATCCCAGAAGGTGAACAAGGACAAGGAAAGAAAACAACAGAACAACTATTTATGCTAATTTTCTTATATCATCATTTTTATTTCATTTCTTTTGATGCATATTTTAGGAAGTAATTATATAATCCTACAATGATATGGTATATTCATAAACAAATATACATGACACTGGGGAGGCATACTTAAAAATCTTTACTGATCAAAACAGCTGAGACTATTATAAACCATAACCACTGCCAAAATCCTCAAAGTTGTGTTTGTCAGTTCCTCAGTTCCTCCTGACACAACCTGTCAAAATGAGCACACAGTGGGTACAATTCCAGACTGAAAACCCTTCATCCTGTGAAATTTCACATAAAGTAACCCAAAACCAATTGACTGATTATTTAGAGGTGTCTGTAAAGGCATTAAGGTGTTAGCCATAAAGGACCACTTCTGTTTACTTCTATGTATGATGAAGGATCTAGCATAAGAAAAAGCACAAACAGCAACATAATCAATCTCCACCCTGTATTCTTCCTTTGACAAAACATTTGAAAAAATTATGTTCCAACATTTTGCAGAAACTGGGTGAGTATGCTGGGACTCCAACAGGTGCATGTTGAATAAGTGTGGTGGTTCTTAAAAATAAATGAAATGACACTCAAGAATATGTCTTTATAATCTTGTCCATTGTCTTTCATTAAGTAGTTCACTAATAGTTAAGTTGGCTTTTCAAGATCATTTGAATAACGGTAAACATGCCTGACTAATATCAATGGACTTATTAACCAAATTAATATACTTGGAAAAGACTCAGATTCTCCAAACGCGATGGCTAAGAGGACCATGTGTAATTCACATTGATCCACAGTGTCTACCACCTAGTAGATACTCTGTAAATATTTTTCTGATTAAAGAAAAATCATCCGTAGGAATCTCTGGGGTAATAAATCTCTAAATGCAACCAAGTAAAATTTATTTAATCTATTTCTTGGAAGTTTATGTGTGTAATTTATGTATAGACATAATTTGTTAGGTTAATCTTTTCTACTATATTAATTTGATAACAGTAATTTTATCATGAACTTATTAAACCACCTATATTAGAAGAGAGTCCACCATTGGGAAAATAATTTGTATTTTTAATTGTGTATTTGAGAGACTCACAGCGGACACTCATACGCCATCAACAGAAACATCAAAAACAGAATAAGCAAGAGTTAAAAGTTCAAGACACAATGTCAAACAATACATTAGATTACTGACGAGATATTAAGGTAAGGCAGAACAGCCAGTAACGCCCAATTGACATTTCTTCCGAGAATCTACAAAAATCAGAAGCAGACTGCATGGAGCTTTTCTGTGCATTGTAGCTGTGCTCTGTGCGCCCTGGAGGGCGGTATACTGTATGAAGCCAGGCTTTGAAGATTGATGATCCTGTGTTTTGAGAGGCTCTAATATGTACTTCTTAGTCATCTATCTCTTTTAAGCACCAGCACATAATACATTTCAAAGGTTAACCAGCATCTTGAACCTGCCTAAGAACTGCATTTTGATGTGAACATGAACTCCAAAAATGATGCTTTTCCACTGGGAGTGGGGGTGGGGAGGAGAGCAAATGTGATTGTTTATAAACCAGATGTAAGATATAAAAAATCATCTTACGAGGTACAGACATTTTGCTTCAGGACTCATTAATAATTTAAGCACAACTGAAATGCCACCAAGATGTATTATCACCAGTTGAAACACCTATGTTGCACTATGAAATAGCCACATAAATGAAGTGCCCCAAACTACAGTGATGAAACAGTAACTGATAATTTACATATTCATTGTTCCCACAGTGGTCATTATCAGACCCCCAGGAGCACGTAGAATATTATTTCCTGTAGCTGCACATGGTGTTGAGTTTAGATGGCAACACTCACTGCCCTGAGGCTGAGCTCCAGTTGCTGTGGGAACCATAACTTAGAATTTCCCAACTTTCGGATGTATAAATATGAGCTCCTATATGGTATTATTTCGTTGTCTGGTATTTTTTTTAATTTGTGACTGAACATAATTACTTCTAGCAAGACTTATGCACTTAATTCCATTATAAACAGTAAATGAAGCTCAATTATCATATATGCCAAATCAATATTTAATAACTGTAATACTGTGTGAATTTAAATAGACAAAATTAAAGAATTTCCAGGTGAGTCAATATACTTTTTTTTCTTTCCTCTCCATTTTATAGCAGAATGTAGTTGTTAAAAGCTCGGGTTTGAGAGTAAACAGACCTGGGTATGAATACAACTTTAGCATTTGCCAATTTTTTTCATTTCTATCCTTTCTTCTGTAAAATAGGGACAATAAAAACATACTCTTCTTAGGAGTACCAAGAGGAATAAGTAAGATAATCCATGTCACAAGTATAGCGTGGTGCCAGACACATAGTAATTTCCCAGTAAATGGCAATTTATAAATGTTATTGAAAACAAATAAATAATAAAGTACATGATATATAAAATACACCTTACTAGATATTTTATAGTAATTATACACAAATCCCTTCATACTCTGTGCCTTGCAACCAATTTATAAAACATATACCTACTCAATTAAATAAAAAACATATATATTTACTGTAATTTGCTGTATACAAAGTATTTTCATTGTAAAGTGTCTTTGGGATGATAAATCAAGAAAAAGATAAACTAAATGATACATACAATCTAGTCAATGACAGGAGGAAGAAAACACTATGGGTTAGTGGTTGAGGAAATTTTCAAAGAGAAAGAACATATCAAGAACTGTGAGGAGTCTATGATTTTACCCTGCCTGAAAGCTTATAAGTTAGCCTGCCATAGCTTCATGGATGCTGGAAGAAGATACAAGAATCTGGGTCAGAGACAAAAGACTGCTTATTACTCACAGCAATATCGTTAGCCAGAGTATCAGCCCTTTATGCAATAATTTCCTCAAGCTAAAATTTGCATAAGTGGATAGGAAGAGGGCCAGGGGATCTGGCATGCACAGAACAACCTGAGCTTAGGGAGCCCAATTCTTTTATACAGACAGTAAGCATGCTTGCTTATTGCTATAGAGCAAGATCGTGTGCCTATCTTCCAAGGCTGTTTGCTGTACAAATATCCCTGAAAAGATAGCCCAGAACAAAGGCTTCTGTTCTCAAAATGTAGAGAAATGCAAGAGAATCACAGACAATTATCTCCCAACAACAAAGTTTAATTTAAGCACTGAAAAATGATGGCATCTGGTTGATTACTAGCAGACTAAAACTAGGAATGTCATTAACAAAAATGCCTTCTAAACAGTAACATTAAATGCTATTAGTTAAAAGAGTAATACCTTCTATACTGAGGAAAAACAGTTTTTCAGTGTAGAACTACATGCTCAACTGAACAAAAAAAATCAAGCATGAAAGCTGAAAAAATAAATTTTCCAACATGCAAGGTCTTTACTTCCCTTTCTTATAAAGCTATTTTTGGATGTGCTCCAGCAAAATCCAGGAAATTCAATAAAACAATAGATAGAACTCAGAAAGGGAGTAAAACGACAGTTCAAGAAAGAAGAAACCAGATCAGATTAGAGCAGAAAGATAGAGAGGTCTGGAAAGTCCATCTCCATGAGAAAAAAGAAGTTAATAATGGCTCTGATATTTCTGAACATTTGGGAAACAATAGGCATTTCAACAGACCTGATAAAGAATGTAGGTGAAAGAAATGAAAGACACATGAAGAGAAAACAAATGTTTTAAATGTCAAAGAAATTAACTCCAGGAATAAGAAAAGAGAATATGTAGGACCGGAAATCTAATCGGATTACCCACTTGGTTATAAAGTGAACAATTCTTACATCGCCATGTAACAGGACACTGGCAATTGACTGAACTTAGACTTCTGATATAACTATCGAGAGGATGGGAACAGGAAAGTGGAAGTGATATAACAGGAAGAACTGTCATCTTCCATAATGGCAAGTCAACAGATATCAGTAACTGGTACTCAAGAAAGAGCAACATACATCTATTACTTAGAAACATGGAAGTAAATACCAGAACACACATGAGAAGAGAAGACTGGAAGACTGGAAGAAGTGGAACGGAGAAGCTAAGTCTTCAAAACAAGTCTCTTAATATTATTTCTTTATTTTTATTCTGAGTATATATTTGAAATGCCTGTCAAGGTATGAAGGAGCTTTTTAGGTCCAACTAGACATCCGGACTCTCAAGACTCCTATAGGCCACCTGGCATCAGATTTACTTTGAAAGATATAAGGCAGGAAGCCCAGCATGCCAGTAAGGCAGTATGATGCTTTTGTCCTTAGGAGGAATACGCTCCCAGCAAGTCCTCAGAGCTGTCCATGAGCTATTGTCTTGGGTCCCCAGGTTGACAGCTCAGTTGTACGAAAAGGGACTCACATTGAGAGGTTGCAAGAGCTATCCTGGCTTAAAAGCATCTTGCCCCAGAGAAGCCAGTATCTCTTGTAACAACATCACAGGCATAGGTGCTTGTCAGATACTTAGTTTTTAAAGTCCAGATGCAATTTACCAATCGGGTCACTTTTACCATAAAAAGGCAGTTGACACACTAATTTTCTCAGGCTTCCAGAAATGGGGAACCAAGAATTAACCAAAGTTTTAATTCTAACGCAGAAAGGGGAAAAGATTTTGTTAACCCTTTACTCACTCTACTATAAAAAAGGTGGAGAAGTCAAAGTAGTCAATAGAGAGAAAAGAATGAAAGAAAATGAACATTTGTTAAGCCTAGGTGAGAAGGATAAGTTTTAGAGGAGGTACGAATGCCTACTAG